CGTGGCCCGCAGCCATTTTCCGCCCGACACGTGGTCCGCAGCCATTTTCCGCCCGACACGTGGTCTGCGGCCATTTTCCCACCCCTGACACGTGGTCCGCAGCCATTTTCTGCCCCTGACACGTGGTCGTAGGGAGGGGGACTCCCTGTCCTCCACGCCAGCACGGATTAACGGTAATTACATTGAACCTTATGGGGAAATTTCCTTCGGGTTGTGACCAATTCGGGTTGCGGCCAGAGTCACGGAACGAATTAAATTCGTAACCCGAGGTTCCACTGTACTTCCGTCAGATGGGGCAGGGAACAATGCACTGGGATGGCATACAAGCTGGGACAAGGATGATTTAAAAGGAAGACCTGAAGATAGGCAGGGCAAAAGGGAGAAATGCTGGTAGGGAAGGGTTGCCGAGGGTCCCATTCCAGTGGGAATACAACGGAAGGTGAGCTCATTCTTCTCTGGGGTGGCCCCTGTGCTGCTCTGGAATAACTGCCACAGATGTTTACTTGGCACCCTCCCCTTGGAGATTCTTAAGCCTGACCAAGACAAAGGGTAAGAAGTTAAGGGGAGAGAGGTGAACTGCCAAGGCTTATTAAACTGCTTCTGTGTCTGAAACAAATACCTAGAAGAGAAATTTTGGCAGTGGATATTTTCTTAATAAACTGAAGTAGCTGGCATTCCCTTTTCTGGAGGCCAGGAAGCTTCTGTCATTCCTTGCAGAATTAGCCAATATTATCTGCAGTTGTTATCTTCCTTTATAAACTTTATTTCTTGCCTAGTTATCATGGTCTCAGCTACCCTATAACATAATATTGTTGTTTGATTTTGGTTTAATATGTTGTTTAAACCCAGCCATTGTCCTTTAGCCATTGTAATTTATTCAGTAAAACAAACCATAAGTGAGTGCAGTGTGTGATCCCATTTGGTGTGTTATGAACAGCAGCGTTCACTCCATTTCACCAAGACCCATTTAAGCGCTCTTTGTTCTCTGCCACTATCTTTCCCTATATACTGCTAAATATGTGTAGTGTATATGTGTTTGAGAGAGAGATGGACATGTCAGATTAGGATACCCAGGTTCAGATCCTCATGCACAATTATGAAATTCATTGGATAACCCTGTCAGCCTATCCTGTGAAGATGAAATGTATTTGGAGAACCATATGTAGCACTTTGAACTGCTTAGAAGGAAGGTGGGATATAATTATAGTATAATAATAATGGAAATAATTATCTTGCTGATCTTTGATCATAAATTCAAGAATTTGAATTTGAAATATTCTCTCTCTCTATATACACGCACACCCCACTAGTTTTCATATGACACTGTTTTTGGAAACAATTACTTTTCTCTCACTCATTTTTAATTTTTACACATTTTCTCAAATAATGTAGTAATATTATCTGTGGCATGTGTTCAAATTGGTTCACACTTTCTTGAATTACATGCCTAATCAGGCTAAATCTCTTTTAGTGCATTAATTGTTCTAGCTACTGTGAAATCTCTCTAGGAAAGTAGTTTTGAACTTATCTGATGTACTTCTATCATAGCTTCTCTATTTTAACTGATAATCCTGAGTTGCTTATGTTACGCTCCAGCATGTATTGAATTCATTAAATCCTTGCCATTAGTGAAGAGTTTGACATAATAATTTGAGATGTTTGGTAATACATACACCCTTCTTTAGCTTTTACTACAGTGCTTTCACTTTATTCTTGGTGTTTGATTATTCTTTATTTATTGTCTTGAAGCTTTTTTGTGATTTTTTTTGACATCTTACTAAATATTTCTTTTTCAAAAAAGAACTCATATTGATCCCCAGAAATTCACCATAATCATAATATCCTTATTTTGGACTGTTGCCAGCAGTATATGGGTCAGGTCAATTTTCAGTTGCTGATTCAGATTTTCAAATTGGATTGTTAACTCACAATCTGATTTGGAAATTAATTTCAGAAAAAAGCCTTTTAACATATGCCCAATAGACCATCAAATATGGTCCACATTGACAATCCAATGGAAAATTGGTTGGAGTCAGAAACCTGATCAAATTAAATCTTGGAATTAAATGTTTGTACTACAATAGTATTAAATACTAATGGTGAGAAGTAAAATCAGGCCAATACTTTTTGAATACAAAACTACTTAATACATATCTTAGTGATTTTTACAGTGTGTTAACTATATAGCAGATAAGGTGAGTTTTAGATATGTGATCCAAAATTGATGCCTTTTAATTTTATTGAAATTTCAGTATCATTATAATAGTTTATCATATAATATTTGCAACATTTATTGGTTCATGTATACAGAATATCCCTGAATTGAAAGACTTAAAGCTTAGTTGCTGTAGATTGTCATAGCGACATTGAAAATCTCTACTAATATAGATATTAAAATCTAGTAAAAACTTTTGGGGGGTGGGTGGGATTTGGAATCTAAATATTTGCATTCCTCACATTTTCTATAAATTCCTGCCCTGGCAAATAGGCAACATTTCAGGCCCCATTTAAGAAGCCCAAAACACACACATAAATCATACCCCTAGTAAACAAAAAGTACATTTTCACAAACAGGCAAAACAATTTTTTCCTGCTGATAGGACATTTGGAATACCATTTACATTTTGGCAAATGTGTGGAAAGAAACAAATCAGCTGGACAAATTTTGTTTTGTTCATCTGCAAGAAATCATCTGGCTTGTTCAGCAAAGTTTAAATATTTAAACAAATCTTGACAAAATGAATTGGCAAATAGTTTTTAATTGTTTCCTAAATATAAACTATCTACTGTAGTGAAATTTATGGAAGTTAAAAAGAGAAATTTTATTAGAACAGTTCACTAATTGCTTTCTAAATTGATGCTTTATCTAGTTCTAATTTTTGTACTTATTCCAAGGTGGTATAAAAATGGTCTATGTGTATTCAGTTTCTAGTTTAGACTTCTTCTCAAGAGCAACTGTTGATTAAATCAAAATATAATTGTTTCTAAAATATTTAGTATGGTGCTAGATAGTTTAGAAGACAAAGAATAAGGACAAAGTCATTTTGTTTAGACCTCTCATGTGAGAAATACAATTTATTATTAACTGTTTAGATAAGCATTTAGTATCAATATGCATTTGTATTGGTATCCACCAGTATATCTTGTAAAGGCAATCTGGGGCCTCCTTAGATGTTGCAGAATCTGTAATTGGCCATATTGGCTGGTATTGCTATCCACACTGGCTAGGAATTTGTCTAAATGATATGGAGAGCACCAGATTCCATTCAAATATTTTTTTTATTCATCAGCTGTCTTATTCAGTTAGATTAAATTCAGTTGTTTTAAAATGTTTCAATGTATCTTCAGGACATAAACACTGTTTTTCTCATGTTAAAGATCACGTACTTCAGCCACCAAGTTTCTTAGTTGTCATAAGGGATAAGGAATTCTGTGCAGGCTAGGAATTCCATACAGTTGGGTGAGTGGGCTAGTGGAAGAACAGATTGCACTCTGCCCCCCGCCCCACCAACCAACTTCTGCTTCTGCTTCTTCACAACCAACATAAAAACATCAGCCAGTGAAAAATCTTGCAAGAGAGTAATTTTCATTGCTGGTGTGCTTTCCATGTGTTTTCAGCAATATTTATGCAGCTAAATGAAAACAGCTTTCTTAGGCTTACTTCTACTACAGTAACATTATTATTATGCATTGCAAAATAAGACTTTTGTTATTTACTAAATTGGAACTTTTTTTAACTTTAGAGACAAAATCGCAGAACAACACTCTCAAAAATTCCTGGTCCCAGAGAAGGTAAAAATATTTTAATTGCCATAAGTATTACAAATAGTTCCAGCCTTCTATCCTGAAAATGACTTCCTGAAGCTGTCCTATTTCAAATGTAGCATATGACTAGTAAAAACAAAACACGTAAGCCTCTTAAATGTCTTGTGCATACTGATTCTAGGTACATATTCATGTTTTTTTTCAGAAGTTCTGTATAGCATGTCCTTGTCCAAGTATGGATTTGGAAAAGATATGTGTATTTTATGCTTAGGATTCTCCCCAGGCTTCCATAACTGCAGTTTAGTATGACAGCAACAGTATCATTATGCTGTACACGTGTAATACTAATGTGATTGTTCACTACTACTTAAACCATTATTGTATTTTCTTATTATACTTTAATTTACTTTTACTTTCTTAAGAGCTAGAACATTCTAAAAATATAATACTGAGCAATTAATCTTTTCAACAAATATGTTTTGTGGAGTGAGATCTTAATGCCTATATTCAATATCCCTTGAGCAAACTTCCCCTTGTTTAGTAGGATTTTTTTCCTGCTTCTTCCTTTAAACCCTCTGGATTTGTTCTAGAGAGCTCTAGAACAGACTTAAGGAATGTAATCTACCAGCAGCGTTCATTTTGCTGATAGAAGAACCCAATAAAACTTCCAATTAAACAATAGTGATATTTTGTTCCTGCCACAAGTTATGTGGAGTATGTGTATATATACTGATGGTTGAGAGTATTTCTTTTATTAACTATTTTAATACAGTGGTACCTCGGGTTACGAATTTAATCCGTTCCGTGACTCTGGTCGCAACCCGATTTGTTTGC